AATTTTCCAACTACTGGTCTTTTCTCTTTGCCCCACACCTTTGCATTCCAATCACCAGTAATGAGCAATACATCTTGATTCTGGAATCAGGACTTCATCTAAATCCTTTTCTTGGCTTTTCTACTTATTTATTGGCTGTGTAATCTTGGCAAAGTTATTTCTGAACTTCAATTTCTTCAGCAGTAAAATATACGAGCTAATGAATGTCTGGTACATAGTTAGTCATGACTACAGCTAACCCCCATTTATGACAGAGTTCTATTTTGATGAGTTTGTTGTAAGTTAGTTCTGACATAAGTCATTACCTTTGTTTTTCTGTTATAGTTTTCATAGCCTGCCATATGGCAGTGTTTTCAACAGTAAATTGAAACATTTCTCTTAGTCTTCTAGGGCCGCCATAACAGAAATACAAGTGGGTGGCTCTAACAAACAATTTTATTTTCTCAGTTTGTTCTTGTGAAGTCCCGTTGAGGCAGTTCCAACCCACAGTGACCCTGTGTAGGGTTTCTGAGAAGTAGCTGGTGAGCTTGAACTCCTGACCTTGCAGTTCAAACTGACTTTGTAGTACAGCGCATTAGAATTCCAAATTGAAGGTGCAGCTCTAGGGGAATGCTTTCCCTCCCTGGTATCTCTGGAAGAAGTTCTTTGTCTCTTTGCGTTTCTGTTCCTGGACAGTTTTATTTCCAATGTCTCGGCCTGTGTCTTTCCCCCACTTCCCTCTGTGCTCACTTGGTTAATCTCTTTGTGTATTTTAAAAGAGATTGACACAAGATACACTCTATACTATTTTTGTTATTAAAATAACAAAGACAATACATTCCTAAATGGGATTATAGCCACTGATATGTTGTTTTTGTTGCTAAGTGCTGTGGAGTCAGTTCCAATTTATTATGACCCTGTATAGGGTTTCCGAGGAACAGCTGACGGGTTGGAACAGTCGACCTTGTGGTTCACAGTCTAGAGCTGATCCTATCATGTCACACCAGAGGTCTAACCACGGGCATAGAGGTTAGGATTTACAACACCTATTTTTGGAGAACATAATTCAATCCATAATACCCTTTGGCTCCCCCAAATTCATGTTCTTTCCACTTGTCCCATCCCCTCATTATAAAGTCTTACATCAATTTCAGCTCCAAATTCTCATCTTCTGAAATCATTTGAATAAAACATGAGTTAGATTTTAGATGTATTCTATCTTCATCTATGAACCTGTGAAATCTAGAATATAAATTATCTGCTCCAAAGTACAATGGTGGAAAAGTTACAAGGTAGACAATTCTATTATCAATGGGACAGATTGGAGGGAAAGAAGAGATACTAGGCACCAAGCAAGTCCCAAACCTAGCAAAACAAATTACATTAGCTTTCAAGCTTGAAAATAATCTTCTGTTCTTAAGACCATCTAGCCAATGGCCTAGCCCTCCAGACATTAGGTATTGACCACACGCTCTAGATTCTAGGTGGAGGCCTCTTGGCCCTGGACTTCAGCTCTGCCTTCCAGGCTCACTCGACTTTCCTGGCTTTAAGCAACCTCATTGTCCTAGTCCATCTAGTGCAACCCCAACTCTTTGCCCCATTCTTTTGCCCCTTGGGCATGGCAGCCCTACCCCCTCAGGTTTGGGCAGTGGCCCCATTCCCCTGGTACATCTTAATTTCAGGCCCATACCTTGGACTGAGTTAAAGAATATTCAACTCTTTGAAATCTAGGAGACTGTGGCCCCACCTACCCTTTGAGACAAAGGGAACTGTACTTCCTGTGTTCCTTCCAATGTTTATGATGACCTCTGAACTACCCGTGGGGATGGCCCTTTCCTTTTCTTGGAAGATTGCAAACGTAGCTCCTCTGGCCTGTTTTTTTTTTTTTTTCTGGCCTGTTTCTTTACTATAGAATTCTAAGAGGCAGATAGTGTTCTTTCTTTTTGTTATTTCTTTATCCCTTTCAATCTAAGCTGATGGGCTTTCTGCTGTGGTAGTGGATTAGACCCATTAGTCACAGGCTTAATCTCTTTTAGAAAAGATTGTGTAGCCATGTACTTGGTAAACATTCTAGTACATGTGCTAGTTTATACAACAGAATTTTCCAATTCTTTTAAGTTCTGTTTCATTTTGCAGTCAGTTTATAAGTCCGTCTCTTTCCTCTTGCATTTTACTATAAGCAGCAAGGAGAAACCATGTGACCCCCTTAAGATCTTGCATGAAAACTCATCAGCCAGATATCCAAGTTTACCACTTACAAATTCTGTCTTCCATCAAATATTTGAACAGAAACTAGACAAGTTTTTTCCACTGCATAAAAAGCATAACCCATCCATCCATCATAGGTTCACAGTTTTCTCTGAATGTCTCCCCAGAAGCACATTAATGTTCATATTTATAGTAACATTCTGTTACTGGTACCATATTTATTCTCTAAGATGACAGAGGCTTTCTTTATAGCACTCTTCATTTCCTGCTGAGCCTTCAAGAGAATTGTCTTTGCTGTCTGTAGTTCTGCCAACAGTCTCTTCAGGACAGTCCAGGTTTTTATTGTTGCCCACTGCCATTGAGTGGACTCTGCTTCAAGCGAACATATAGAACAGAACCCCATAAGGTTTCCAAAGATGTCAGTCTTTATGAAAGGATACTGTCACATCTTTCTCTGATGGAGTAGCTGGTGGGTTTCAACTGCTGACATTTTTGTTATCAACTAAGTGCTTTAATCACTGACTATCAAGACTTTTATTATTAGTCAACTTAAAACTTATAGCTTCCACCCATTACCCAGTTCCAAAATTGCTTCCAAATTTTAGCTGTTTTTTAGAGCAATACCCCACTGTCAGTACCAAATTCTGTCATAAGTTATCTAGAACTGTTGTAACAGAAATAACAGAAGTAAGTGACTTTAACAAATACATTCATTTTCTCACAGTTTAGGAATCTGGAAGTCTGAATTCAGGGTGTCATCTCTAGAGGATGGCTTTTGCTCTCTGTTGTTTCTGGAGGCAGACACTTCTCTCTTTAAAATTCTACTCCTGGGATATCTTCACGTATCTTGGTTTATGTCTTTCCCCCATATCTGCTTGCTTGTTTAATCTTTTTTTTGTATCTCAAAAGAGATACCCTCCATGAATCCTGCCTCATTCCCAAATAGATTATAACCATAGGCAGAACCCAAACCCACTGCCGTTGAGTCAGTTCTGACTCAGAATACTCCTGTAGATGGTTTCCAAGGCTGTAAATCTTTATGGAAGCAGTAAGCCTCATCTTTCTCCCCCAGAGGGGCTAATGGGTTTGAACTGCTGACCTTGAGGTTAGCAGTCCAATGCTTATGCAACAGTGCCACTAGGGCTCCTTCACCATAGGAATAGAGGTTACGATTTGCAGCACATATTTGGGGGGGACATAATTAAATCCATAACAACATTGAACATCTGTGAGTAAATCTCAGAAAATGATAACATCAGTAAATTATGTGTGTAACATTGTATATAGTACATATTGCTAATGATAAGATGTAAAAAAAACAGCGAAAAAGACTGCAGTAAGTGTGGTTTGTCAAAACTTTAAAACATCGTAAGTTGGAGACTTCCTGTAAATGGAAAAGTGTCTTTGTTTTGTTTTGTTATCCTTTCACTTGGTACTATAGATCTGATAGTAACTGTTCCTATAATTAGAGGTGTTGTTGTTGTTAAGTGCCATTGAGTTGGTTCCAACGCATAGTGACCCTGTATAGGGTTTCTGAGGAGCATCTGGGGGGTTTGAACTGCCAAACTTGTGTTTCAAAATCCATTGCTGATTCTACAGTGCCACACCTGGAATCCAGTTAGAAGTGCAGTCATATATAAAGTGCTCTCTTTCTTTGATCCTTGGTTTATTTATAAGTGGAAGAGATTCAATGAGGTGACCTTTAATGCCCTTCCCTTTTCTAAAATCTGAAGTTAAAAAGGATTTATTAAGTACTTATTTATTATACGCCTGATAGTGTGTTGACAATTTTTTTAAAGCAGGTAAGAATACATTTAGATGGAAACTACTATGTGCTAACAAATTTGCAATCATAATCTGAGTCACCACTCATTTCCCTCCTTAGAATGAAGTTTTACATAATTTTTGGAAGCGCTACCTTCAGAAGAGCAAGCAGGCATATTGTAAAAACCCAATTTATATCAGTAGAAGGAAAGCTGCGGTAAGTCACAAGTCTGAAAAGGGGTGTCAGTGAGGAATGTACTTCTCAGAACAATCAACCAGATGAGACCAAAAGGGCAACATTTCCCTAATAACAAGTTAGAAGGCAGGATGGGGCTAGAAAGCATGACGGATGGAAACAAGGATCCCAGGGAACAAGTGGGAAAAGTGCTGTTATGGTGAGGGGCTTGCAACTAATGTCATGACATAAATTGCGTACAAGTTGTTGGGTGGGAATGTAATTTACTCTGTAACCTGTCACCAAAGCCATCACTTAAATAAAGTGGAGGTGGGGTGGATTTTCAAAAGACATTTCTCATGAGAGTGTTTATGACTAGTTTGAGTGCCTGCAATCATGATGCTTGTCTCAGACTTTCCAGTGAAGAACCTTATAATCCAGAAAGACAGGGTCACTGATGCAGACATAGGAATTAATTTTACTTTATTTGATTTGTGTAAACAAAGAAATTTGTGGTTATTATTCTAGATAGAAGCTTAAGGAATTTCTGTCATTGACTTAAAAAAAAAAAACAACAAACAGTTTTGTATTTGCATATGTGTTCTCTTGTCAGAGTATTTTAAATAAAGAAAAAGAAGTATATGTACTCCACCCCCAAATTTACCAAGGCAACTATTTTTTAGCAAATTGCTAACTGATTTATAAATATGCCATAATGCCATGCTGTTGTTATAAAGTGCCATCAAGTTGGTTCCGACTCATAGAAACCCTATATAGGGTTTCTTAGGAGCAGTTGGTGAGTTTGAACTGCCAACCTTGTGGTTCCCAGTCCAGTGCTAATCCTACAGTGCCACTCCAGGGCATGGAACATTTTATTTGAGAATGGGGGAAGATTCTATTGCTGAGGAAAGCACGTTAATAATCCAATATGTTAGACATTGTAATAAATGGTGCTAGTAGGTCAAGAATTGTTGTTAAGTGCCATTGAGTTGGTTCCAACCCATAGCAACCCTGTATAGTGTTTGCGAGGAGCGGCTGGTGAGCTTGAGCCACCAACTTTATGGTTCAAACCAATTTTGCAGTCCAGCACATTAACCCACAGCACCACACCAGGACTCCCAAAATTCATCAGTGGAACAGTGGAATCAGAAGCTTGATTGTAAATAGGGTTAAGATAGAGGAGAGAAATTGGAGACAGGAAGTTTAGACAGCTCCCTAGAAGCAACTTGCTACAAAGTACAAAAGAAAGTTATGGTAGCCTGGGTCAAAGGAAAGAAAGGGTTTATTATTTTTTAAGTGAGAAAAATAGTAGCATATTTGTGTAGTCATAGAAATGATACAGGAAGGAGGAAAACTTAATGATGCTGAAAGAGCACAGAAATCAATAATATCTTTGAGTAGATGGAGAGGGGTGTACAAATGGAGAACTGGCCCTAAATAGGAGCTTGGAAATTTCATCAGAAAAATCAGGCAGAGGGCAGAGTGTGTGGGTAGAATTGTCGACAAGTGGGAACTTGTGGAAAATTTCTTCTGATTGCTTCTCAATAATTTCATGTGCCCATCAGCCAGTTTTATGGGGTACATCCCCTCTCATGTGGCATGCTCATAAGGAAAGAATGTGTTTGATAGAGAACACATGTATTCATTCTCATGTTCTGATTTTTTTGCGTTATTTTCATGTATGCTTCCTTGACCAGGACTATTATCTTTTGTTGTTGTTAGGTGCTAACAAGTTGGTTCCAACTCATAGTGACCCTCTCTGTATGTACAACAGAACAAAATTCTGTCTGGTCCTGCACATCCTCACAATGGTTGTTTATATTAGAGCCCATTGTTGTAGCACTGTGTCAGTCAATCTTATTGAGGGTCTTCTTCTTTTTCAAAATTGACTCTCTACTTTGCCAAGCATGATACTCTCCAGGGACTCGTCCCTCCTGATAACATGTCTAATATGCATGAGGTGAACTCTCATCAAACTTGCTTCTAAGGAACATTTTGGCTGTACTGCTTTCAAGACAGATTTATTTGTTCATCTGAAGTCCATGGTTGTTGTTGTTGTTAAGTGTCGTCAAGTTGGTTCTGACCCATAGCGACCCTGTATAGGGTTTCCTAGGACCAGCTGGTGAGCTTGAACCGCCGACCTTGCAGTTCAAACAGCTTTGCAGTCTGGCGCATTAAGCCACAGCGCCACACCAGGAGTCCATGGTACGTTCAATAATTTTTGCCAATATCATAATTCAAGTGCAGCAGTTTTTCTTCAGTTTTTTAATTAATTGTTCAGCTTTCACATGTATATGAGGTGATTGAAAATGCCATAGCTTGGATCAGGCACACTTTAGTCTTCAAAGTAACAATTTAGCTTTCTGTCACTTTAAATAGGTCTGTTGCAGCATATTTGCCCAGTGTAATACATTGTTTGAACTCTTGACTGCTGCTTCCATGAATATTGATTGTGGATCCAAGTAAAATGAAATTCTTGACTATGTTAGTATTTTCTCCATTTATCATTATGTGGCTTAGTGGTCCTATTGTGAAGATTTTTATGTTTAGGTGTAATCCATACTGATGGCTGTTATCTTTGGTCTTCATTGTGCTTCAAGTCTTCTGCTCTTTCAGAAAGCAAGGTTGTGTCATCTGCATATCACAGGTGGTTAATGAGTCTTTCTCCAACCCTGATGCCTGTTCTTCATATCGTCCAGCAAATCTGCTGCACAAGACCTCTTTGTTCAAGAGCAAAGATGTCAGTATGAGGTCAGAAGAACAAGCAAACATGTGTTGGAAGAAGTACAGCCAGAATCCTCCTTCGAAGTCAGGATGATGAGATTTTGTCTCTTATACTTTGGACATGTCCCTGGAGAAGTACATCATGTTTGGTACAACGGAAGGTCAGTGAAAAAGAGCAATCCCCCCAATGAGATGGATTGGCACAGGGATAACAGCAATTGACTCAAGCTTAACAAAGACTGTGAGGATGGTGCAGGCCCAGGCAGTGATCGTTCTGTTGTCCATATGGTTGCTATGAGTCGGAACTGACTCAGCGGCACCTAACGACAACAGTGGTGTAGTGTTTCAGGGCTCAGCTGCTAATCGTAAGGTTGACAGTTTGAACTCACCCAACCACTCCATGGACAATCTGCTCCTGTAAACGTTGTCATTAGGTGCCATGGTGTCAGTTTGACTCATAGTAATCTCTTGTGACAGTAGAACTGCTCCATGGGGTGTTCTTGGTTGTAATCTTGGAAGTGGATCACTAGGTCTTTTTCACAGTGAGTGCCTGGATAGGTTCAAACATAGCGACCCCATCTATAGCAGAACGAAACACTGTCTATTCTTGTGCTATCTTCACAATTGTTGTTAATCTTGAGCCCACTGCTGCTGTCACTGTGCAAGTCCATCATGTTGGATGTCCTATGCCATCTTCACAGTAGTATGTTTGAGGCCATTGGTTCAGCCACTGTGTCCATCCATCTTGTTGTGAGAATCTTCCTCTTTCTCTGACCCTCTACTTTACAAGACTTGATGTCTTTCTATAGGCATGGATCTCTCTTGGTACTGTGTCCAAAGTAAGCAATAGGAAGGAAGTCTCACCATCCTTGCTTGTAAGGAGCATTCTGGCTGTACTTCTTCCAAGACAAATTTGTTTGTTCTGGAGGCCCACAGTATATTCAGTATACAGTATTCTTTGCCAGCACCATAATTCAAATATGTCAATTTTTTTTTCATCTTCATTTTTTTTATTGTCCAACTTTCACATGCATAGGAAACTATTTGAAAATACTATCACTTGGGTCAGGCACAGCTTAGTCACAAAGTGACAACTTTCCTTTTTTTTTTAAATACCTTTAAAGAAGGCTTTTATAGCAGATTTGCCCAATGCAACGCATTACTTGATTTCTTGATTGTTGGTCTCTGGGTGTTGATTTTGAATCCAAATAAAATGAATGAAATTCTTAACAGTTTCAATATTTTCTCTGTTTATCAAGATGTTGCTTATTAATCCAGTTGTAATGATTTTTATATTGAGGTGTAATCCATATCTTCATCAGCAAGTACTTCAAGTCCTCTTTATTTTCAGCAAGCAAAATTATGTTATCTACGTATCTCAGGTTATTAATAAGTCTTCTTCCAGTTCTGATGCCACATTCTTCTTCATATAGGCCAGCTTCTCAGATTATTTGCTCTGCATATAGATTGAATAAGCATGGTGAAAGTACACAACCCTGACACATGTAACTTTCCTGATTTTAAACCATTAGGTATCCTCTTGCTCTATTGGAATGATTGCCATTGGTTCTGCATAAATACAATTAAGTGTTCTGGAATTCCTATTTTTCTCAGTGTTTTCCAAAATGTGTTGTGGTCCACATAATTGAATGCCTTTGCATAGGCAATAAAACATAGGCAAACATCTTTCTGATACTCTGTGCTTTCAGCCAAGATCCATCAATGGTATCCCTTGTTCCACATCCTCTTCTGAATTTCTGGCAATTCCCCGTTGATGTATTTGTTGTTGTTAAGTGCCATTGATTCTAACTAATAATGACCCCGCATAGGGTTTTCCAAGGCAGTACATCTTTGCAGGAGCAAAAAACCTCATCTTTCTCCCATGGAGTGGCTGGTGGGCTCAAACCGCTTACATTGTGGTTGAGAGTCCATTACTTACTGTATAGAGGAATGTGGCCATTTTTAAATGATCTTCAGTAAAATCTTGCTTGCATGTGATTTTGATTATATTGTATGATGATGTCCTCATTTCATTGGGACACCTCTCTGGTCTTTTTTTTTTTTTTTTACTTTTTATTGTGAATTGGGTGAATGTTTACAGAGTAGATAAGTTTTCTATTAATAACGCATACATATTTTGTTTCATGCCATTAACTACAATCCCCACAATGTACCATCACTTGTGCCACCTCTTCCCTGTGTTTCCTGTTTCCATCCTTCTTGCCTAACCCTTCTGAACTTTGTCATTGGGTAAATGCTGCCATTTTGCTCTTAAATGGTAGATTATTTTAAGAACCTTCCTAGTGTTCTTGTTCCCC